CTACTAGTTAAAAAAAATTGAGACTCCTATTTGGTGAAGAGGATTTTTAAATGAAGTTAAGCGTGTTATCATTGTGAAATAACCCTAAAAAAATTACATCCTAGAAAGAATAATAGAACAGGTATTTTGAATGCATGAACTACTAGGCAATAGTTTGGAAGAAGCTATTAGAGTGCAGCATCATAAATTAAGCACTTTATTAGAAAACATTAATCACAAACATTTGAAGTTCAATGTTGAGATATATTAACACCTCATCTGACTGAACCAATTACATAGTGATTACTTGACAGATGGATATTATGAAGAATAAATATACTGTCTATGAGGGAAACTACAAAAAACCCCTTTACAAAATTTTAACTATCTGATCCTCGAATGGTATGGCACATAACATAATATGAATCTTATACATAACCATTCTCATATCAATTAAACAATAAATAATCAAAAGCAATCAACTTTTTCTTTCAAATTATTGCCTTCTAATTGTGATAAGACACCATTATGGTTATTTTCCTAGTCTTTTGCAGGTAACATTTTTAATTATCGACAGTAATATATACTCTTACACATACAAAATCATGAAATTTGATTTCATTTCAAATATTAAAGAATCTAACAAATCATATACTGTATATGAAACATACCATATATTTCTTGAATTATATACATATACATCTTTCATCTATGTTTTCAATCTACTCATAATATACTTGAACATGCTAAGAAAACAAAAATATATAAATATGAATAGGCATTAAATTATAAGTTTTGCTCTCTTCTTTCTCATTTCATTATTGTTTTCGGCTAACTTTACACAATGTAACATCAATCTATACACCATAAATTATATAACATAAAATCCTAACATTCTAAACAACATTTTTGAAAATATTTAACAAAGCAAATGGAAAATTGCTACTATACACTATGAATTACAGAGAGAAAACATGGTAACACCAACATGGTTCCACCATTCATTTTGAAAAGTTGAGAAAACACTCCAAACTCCTCTCAATGAACTTTGCATTTCTCTTTGTATTCCAGATAAATCACAATGTAGCAAAAGATTTAACACATTACAATATATACTACATTTATTAACTGTATTCCAAAGAAATATTTTCTATGAAGTGTACAGATTGTTCCAGCATTCTCACAATGTTTTCTTTGGCCAGTTATATTTATTGTCTACATTACAACTAGAATTACCACAGCATTTCTGTTCTTAGTTCATTAAGATATATTATCCTAAAATGCTAATATTCACATTTATATACAATGAGATGCCTTAAATCACAGATGAAAGTAAACTACGAAGTACTATATACACTACCTGACAGCAGAATAAAAATTAGGCGTGTCAAAACCATCCCTAAATCCCACATTTATAAAAGAGAAATTGATCTAAAAATGTCATAAGAAATGCAGTCCAGAATGAGCAATCAAACTTATTCTTACGGCTATCCACCCTGAACATCCTTATTTACAATATTATATCTCATAATTTTTACAAAAAAAATTATACCAAAAGTTGGACTATAACAGGAATTTGGAATGATTTTGGAAGAAAAAAAATGGTTATGGATTAATCTTAGGGAATAATATTGAATATAGTGTTGATTACTTTAAATTCTTTTCTTCCTCATCAGTCAAATAACGGTGATCAAGCATCTCTAGATTGAGCACAAAAATATCTTCAAGTTTGGTATAGCAACAACAATCAAAAACAATTTTAAAATAAACATTTTTCCCTTTTTTACTATCCGAGAACAAACTTTATTGGCTTCACGAGTATTTCAATACTTAGCAACAATTATTCATGTACACTTCACGAGGAGCAATTTGAGAGTATTACGTTACAAGAGCTGAAGAATGCAACCCAAGGCTTCACATCTAAAAACATTTTGCTCCTTTTTTTATTTTCATGTAATTTGTTTAATGATAATGCTTCAAATTTACTCACAGTAAGTATAAAATTTACAGAGTAAATTTCTAAGAAGTCAAACAAATTTTATAATATATGAAATTATTGTAGGAATACTTTTAGTTATAGAGAAAGTTATCAGGTATGTAAGAACACAAACAAATTAAAAATACAAACAGTACATAAATAACTAGCATTGTAGTGTATTAATCATTTTGTAGTGCACTAATTAGGCATATGTCAATTAAGTGAAGAATGAGTGGCAAAATGAATTTCAAACAAATGGGGGGGGGATCTGAAGAGAGAGAGAGAGAAGAGAGAGAAGAGAGAGAGAGAGAGAGAGAGAGAGGGAGGAGAGATAGAGATATAAGAGAGATAGAAAGAGAGAGAGAGAGATAGAGATATAAAGAGAGATAGAAGAGAGAGAGAGAAGATAGAGTATAAAGAGAGATAGAAAGAGAGAGAGAGAGAAAAGAGAGAAGAGAGAGAGAGAAGAGAGAGAGACGAGAAAGACGAGAGAGAGAGAGAAAGAGGAGAGAAAGAGAAGAGAGAGAGAAAGAGAGAGAGAGAAGAGAGAGAGAGAAAAAGAGAGAGAGAAGAGAAAGAGAAGAGAGAAGAGAAAGAGAGAGAGAGAAAAAGAGAGAGAGAGAAAGAGAGAGAGAGAGAGAAAAAAAGAGAGAGAGAGAGAAGAGAGAGAGAGGAGAGAGGAAAAAGAGAGAGAGAGAAGAAAGAGAGAGGAAAGAGAGAGAAAGAGGAGTGGGAAAGAACAGAAGAGACAGTAAAATAATTTTCTGGGTATTCATAATGAACTGTTGCATAAATAATTCACCTTTTCAATACAGTTTATAAAGAAAAGGATAGCAAACTTGCAAATAATGAATCTTCATACAAATTATCCTACACACATTATAAAAGTTGTTTCCATATAGATTATATGGTATCAACCTTTTACTGAAATATATGTAGGGTAGTTTGGCCCAAAACTAATTTTTGCAGTTAAATAATCCTTAACTATACAAAATAAATCTGTGAATCAATAACATCATGACTGTTATAGAATAAATCAGTCAAATGATTTGTTTTTTTAGTTCCACAAAATCAGTTTCTTGAAAAAAATATTTAACCTTTTATTTCTTTCCCAATGGGAAAGAAGCATTGCTTCACAAATATGTCATATTAGCTCCACAAATATGTCAAATTAAGAGCATTTGGGCTTCAGCACAAACCCCAAAGCCATACTATTATTAAGGGAAAAACAGTGGAGAAAAAGAGGGGGCAGACAGACAGTACAATAATCTGTTTTTAAATGAATCTAGATGTCACATGTACTGTTTTTTTTAAAGAAAGTTATTGTATTTTTTGTGTAGTAATAACAATATAAACAAATGCAACACCTGGATCCTTCACAAACTTCCAAGACCCAATTCAAATGAAAAAATGTAGTCAATTTCATATGATTTTCATGTCTTGGTTACTATTTCTAAGAAACAAAAGAAATTGAAAATGATGTAGTAGCACTACTTAGCAGATATTGCTGATCTCACAATCAAATCAAATATCTAACTGAAAAACAAACAACCTATTCACACTTGTTTCACACTTCAGTTTGTTTTCTGAGAACACAAACTGACATAAAGAACTTCTTGCAAGAGAACAATAATGTTTTAAATTAATTGTGAGGCAGATTGGAATACTGACTAAATACTACTAGAAAGCAATTAGATGCAGACTGATGAAACTATACTGGAGAATGAGGAGGGATCCACTCCAAAAAGGCAAATCTGAAGAGTATAATGGTTAAGTATACCTCCATCGACGCTAATAAACAATAACTGCTTTTAAAGCACATTTATTTAACTATTAGAAAATTTACAAACTTCAAAGCATATTTTAAAAAAAAATTCTAATGTAGGAAGAGGACATCTGTAATTATCCTCATATGTCTGCTGATGCTTATGTTTATTCTGAATAAATTTGAAATGGCATTACACACAAAATGGTTTCTCAAAAACAAAAAGTTTTTGTTTTCATTAAAATAACCATTATATGTAATACATAAAGCCCAGATAATTATGTAATAACACATTTTCCTAACTTACAGCTGCCAAACCATTGACTTATTCATGTTTCATATCATTTAGTCCCTAAAAATGTTGACTTTTTAGAGCATATATTTACATATTTTATCCTAAGGTACATATGTTTACATATTACTGAATATTTCTATTTTCCTGCAACTTTGTTTTGGTATAATTCTTAAATTTTTCTATATGTTTTTAATACGGTTTCAGCTAGACAAACAATTCATCATTATAAAACCCTTTTTTCTGTAGTTTCTCCCTAAAATACTCTTATTCCATCACATTAAAACAAGTCTGTACATAAATACAGATGGTATTGCAAAACAAAAGGATGCAAATTCAGGAGGTGTGTTGACATTTTCCCTAACTCATTTGTCACACATGAACCTTCACAGTTAATTGTAAATTATCTCTTTAGGCTGGAAATTGAAAGGAAAATGGCAATGTGGCACTAATGCTTTTGGGGAAGACTAGGGACAGCAAATCATTCATGGCAATTGAATTAAACTTTGTGTAGTGGTGGTATTGCAGAGAAAACTGCAATGTATCTTTTGAGAGCAGTTTAACACTAGCACTTTGGGTAAGAATATCATTAAAGAGCTTCTTCCAGGAGTGCCTCTCCCTGGTTCCTGATTTCTGCCAATATTAAGACCAATTTTTCCATTTCTAACACCAGGCACTACAATTAAATCTTTAGAGTCATCTTCCCTTAACTTCCCAACAACTTTGAAATTGTCCACACAGCAGTGGCATCTTTAAAAAGTGTTTAAGGATCAATATGAGACTTAGCCAACAAAAAAAATATTCAGTTTTGGAGAAAATCCCAGGATTAAAACAATTTTTGCTATTAGTGCAGTATTTTTAGTACATATTATCCGGGCCCCAGTATTAACCATTATCAGAAATTTCTTCAACACAATACACAATCCTCCCTCGAAAAGTGGCCGACTATAAAATGCAAAACTGCTATGAAAAATGCTAATGTGTTTCTCAGATTGTAAAAGTAATTCAATTCCCTCCACCATTTATGCTATTTTAAAAACAAATACAAATCTTCACTAACTTAAAACATTAACAATTCATAGTATGAAAAAGATAAACTCATAAACTAAATGATAAGAGCAAAGAGAAAATAAATTAAAAACAAAATCATACACTTTTGTCAGTTTTGTTCACTCCAAAAACCATTTCAAAAATGATTCCCATTTCCAAACTAATGTGAATCAATTTTCACATTAGTGTGCAAATACATTTTCTATGGACATGACTTTTGCAGGCAGTTTATTACTCTAAATCTGGGCAAAGGGGCCAAACAAACTGATAGGCTCTAACATTAGCAATATCTACAAACATATTAATGTCCAAATAACATTAAAACTGAACTATTTTAACCACTTTCTTTCACAAACAGTGTATTATTTTTGGAATTGGATTTATGTAAACCATACATTTTGTGGATTTTTTAAAAATAAATCAGAATTAATTATAAATTCCATTGCAAATGCTAATTTGTGCACTACATACCCAATCATATCCAGATATTTATGAATGGCTGTAAAGAAAGTAATGAATAATGCACTACAAATACTCAAATCGGGCTACATGTATAAAATTTAAAATTTGGCTCACTCTCAATCCGTTTCAAATAATACTGTCTCCAACTAACATTATGCAGAGTAGCAGGTAACTGATATCACATTTTCAGAGCCACACAAAAAAATAGTTTGAAAAATGACTAAAATACAACAGGTCTATATAGCAATGTTATACTAATACATTATATAATAAACAAATATAATTCTTTCCTTCTGTTTTAAGACTTCCTTTCTGATGACAATATGGATCTCTGAATTAAAACCTACATATATAAGAAACAGTAATACTTACACAACAGTAATAACAAATCTTTAGCTCCGTTTAGATTCAAAAAATTATTTAAGTTTGCTTCAAATATGAAGCAAAACTTCTTATAGTATATAATTCACAGATGAGGGCAAATGACATTAATAATGAAAATGTCATGGAAGTACATCACAATGGGTTTATTGTTATCTTCCATGAGCACAATATGCTAAGTTCTGAGCATGGCAGTGAATAAAACTGTGAAGTTCAATATCATATGAAATGTTTTATTTCATAAATATTTTTAATATTTCCTCATTTTCGCAATTTTATTAATAAAATTCAAAATGACTATAGAAGTCATTCGATTCTAGTGATAGAACTGTGGGTTCTGTAGGATTGAAATTTAACTAGCTTGTCTTTCTGACAGGTTGATGGACTGCATTTGTAAAATTTAAATTAAACAGTAATAATAAAATAATTGTAAATTCTGATAATTAACTTATTAAAATTAATTATTTTTTTCTCAAATTAACTATATAATCTTTGTTTTTCATGTTGGTGTAGATTAGATTATTAAAGACACCTTACTAACTTTCTATGGAGTAAAAGTTGTTTTAAATTCCTTTTAGTAAAGAGTCCTTTTAGCTTCGTAAAATAATAATTTAAGTCTGGGTCTGGTCTGTTGTACAATACAATTGAGTGAGTTGCAATATACATTTCCCTGAACCAAAGAACTAAAAATAGATTTAATTCACAAAAGTTTGGTGAAATTTACTTTGGTGGAACAGTGTTATTATAAAATTTTCATATACTACCAATGATCAAGGTGGTGATTTTAATATGAAGTTGAGCATGAATTTCCCGATACTATATGATTTTCAAAAGACAAATTGTCATTCACCATTAAAAACTACCATATGTAAGATGATAAACTCAGGACACACACAAGTGGTTTTTACTATCTTAGTAAAATCAACTCCACAATGTTCAAACATTTCATTAACCATAAACCCATCATAAACAGTGGTGAATCCCAAAACAACATAAATTAAATAGCATTATGTTCACACACTTGATAGAAAATTCCATGAACTTCATGTGATCAATTTGTAACAAATGTAAATAAGTAAAATAGTAAATTTGAAACAAAATGGAAAATAGTACATTATACAATCAGAGAAGTTGGGTTGTGTGTAAATAAACAAGTATTTTCATTGTATTCATTAAAGAAAGGAAAACTATAATTCCATTAAATTGCCACCAACCATGTAAGAAAACACACCAACATTAGTAGACACAAAATATTGTATCTTTTTTTAACTTACCAAAGACTTCAATTTTATTAGACTTTTATATCATCTTTAGTGAGTTTGCACAAAAAACATATGTTATTTCATAAAATTAAAATTAAAGGTTTTTCTCTCTTACAGAGGCAGTTCATCAACTTAAGTGGTTTTAACATACAATGTAGGCTTTCACAGCCGGTTTCCATATCAAAATCAGTTGTTTCCGGGCTTGAAGGCCGTGGTCCAATGGAGACTTGACCAAGTCTCCATTGGACCACGGCCTTCAAGCCCGGAAACAACTGATTTTGATATTAAGTGGTTTTGTTTTTCATAGTCAATGGTACCTCTGGAGCACTAAAGAGGCTACTAACTTTTTGTAAATTTTTACCTACATGAATCACACTAGGGTGACACTATATTAATTTCAGTATGAACATTCAAATACAGTACTGTTAAATATTTTCAATAAATTTTATTTCACTTTCATTTTTCAATGTGTCACCTGATATAATATATTAATTTCTGTACACTGAATTCAGTTCACAAAAATTCAATTGAATGAAGTTTCATTTCAATCACACAATTAACTTGTGTTTTAGTTCTTCTCCTTGATGAATGGCTCAATGGGGTTTGTCTTAATTATTACATTAGTAGTCCACACACCAAGTTGAAAATGAAGGCAAATAATACGATTGTGATTTTTATGTCATTGCAAACATCCAAATGCAAGTTTATTACTTGCAATTGGATTGCATCTGAATGCAAGCCAATTGCTTTTCCAAAAAAAGCTACTGCATTAGTATATTCAATAAATTTGTAGTAGTGATATTATTATTCTAAATATTTATTTTTTGTAGAAAAGAACATGAAATGTGTTATTACAAATATGAGTATAGTAATTTTGGAAAAAGAAGGTACAAGTTATGTACTGCCATGAAAAATGTTTCAAAAATCTTCAACCACTTTGACTGCTTCAACTGGGCCTGAGCTACAAATATCTGTGTATGGCTCTGAATCCACTACATATGCGAAAAATGAATTAAAGAACAAAAAACTCGTGTAACTTATTCAGCCTTCCACGAGACCAAATATCTTTCTTTCCATATTTTGCAATGCCAATTACCTGACATACTCCAAATACATTAAAGTACTTGTATAACAACAAATATGCTTGAGACACATGAAGAAACATCAAGACTACTTTTCATTATTCAATAAAAATTACAATGATAAATCAAATACAATTACAAAAACAAATCTTTAAACAGTTATCAATTGAAAACTAGTTACTCAATGTAATAAATACAACAGTAATTCACTTTTAAAATACAAATACTGGAAGGTATTAAATGTTTTCACACAAAAAATTCAAAACAATCGAAACAAACAAAAATGTTCTTCTACACTAAATATTTGAAAAAAATTCACGATATCCATGATTTCATTACAGAAAACTTTCCACCTGATTTCTAACATAAATAAATAATTGTACTAAGTAAACAGGTTTACCCTGTCACAGTCTTAAATCTATCAATTTATTACAGGCCAACAGAAGAAACTTACTTGATCTTGATCTTATGAAGTTTCAGTTTGAACCCCAGCATTTCAGACAACACTCCAGAAAGAGCAGACAAAATGACCACTTTGGTTATAGTGTATAAATATGGATTTGCTGAAAGGCCAGATATTTTGAAAGGACTTTCCAGCTCCTGCAATAACAAATGAATAATCAATATACAAATATTTTATTCAACAAAACAAAATATTGATATCAGAAACAATTTAAAGAAAATCATCCTAAAATCAGTGCCTTACTTTAAGTAAATCAGCTGCCAACTTCAAAACACTATTTGCTACCATTAATTCTTCTTTTTTATTTGGCTTTTGTTCTATTTGGAGATATAAATTGATCTGCAAAGAGTGAGTGAATTGTGGTAAGTGAACAAAAAAATTAAGGACCTCAAACTTCAGAATTACATAATAAACAACTATAATAATTACCAAAACCACATAGAAAATTTATTTAATAAAAAAATCACTCATGTATATTCTAATTATTGTAACTACTTACCTGTTCAGTGATAAGGACAGATAAATTTCTGTATTTGCGATTTATTTTAGTACCTAGAGTCATAAATCGTAAAAGAAAAGCCCCCAATGCAAGACACCATGCCAGAGCTTCCAAGTTGTAGTCCGAATGCAGACGCACAGAGTCCTGTAGAAGACCAAGAAAGTCATAACAATAGCAAATAAACAAATATGAGTTACAAACCAAGGATGCTTTGATTCAAACTAGAATATTATTTTTTAATTTACCTCTATGAGTAAATGTTTCCAGTGTCAATTGTAGAATAACATTTAGAATAGACATGCAATACATAAAATAACAAACACTACCACATATTGATAAGAGAAGAAAACAATGTAACATATAATTTAAAAGAAATATTTAGCTGGAAAATTTGGAGTAGAGTATTTTAGCTTTCTTTAACACTAGAAAGCTCAGCGATGTAATCTCCAAGTGCTATTTAATTTCTAGTTAATTATTTTGCTTCTACAGATGGGATCTCTTCATTCATCATTTTGTGGCTTTTCATCATTTGCGCTTATTAATAGTGTTTTCCAAGTCGAAGCATATAAATTTACTTTGTGAAAAATAATTCAATTTATCTAGAAAGCCAAGTAGTGTCATTTCAACACCTTTAGTTCATAAACTTCACCTTACTTCATAAACTAACCCCCATCTTGCAGCCTCTGTTATCTATTGTTGAACAATTTTTAACAATTATTATTGAAAATTTTATAAGATCATTCCTAGTATTTTGGATACTTACTGAAGAACTATACATGCATTTCTTCAAGTCTGCATTTTTTTTCTAGCATTCTTGTACAACACTGATGAATCATGAGTTGTTTTATGATAGTATGTAAGCTATTCACCATTTTAAAAACTAAATTGTCATAATCTGAGCTAATGAATGACAAAATATTTCTTTAGATAATTCTGATAAACAGAATTTAGAATTTAGTAGAGAAATTTTGAGATCATAAAAAGAAGTGAATAAACATTCTTATATATATTTATAGTTTTGTATCAAAGACATGAGAAGGGTTAATATTTTTTTTATATAATTTGTGTTTTATGTCTTATAATTTGTTGTTTTTGACTGCCTGCAAAATAATTTCTTAAAATTTGTTTATTGAAAGTTTTTTTAAAAACAATGTTTCTATTCAATTTATGAAGAAGGGAAATAGAAATAGAGAATATGATACATGAATATCCAATAATGTATGAAGCAACAATACATAGATAAACAAAATAAGCAATGTAACCACCCTAAAAATAAATACTTTCTCTTTCGTTACGTATCAGTTATGCTTCAGTAATAGAAACTGGCACAATTACTCAAGTTCGAATTTTTAATACATCTTTTTTTGTTTACACACAGTTTTGTTTCTAATCACCATTTTTATGATACTAGAGGGCATTTTGGACTCCAGATGCTTTTGATTTATTTATGGTGTTCAGTTCTTGGCATCAAAGCCAGACAAATACAGCATAAAATAATAATGTCTTGCAGTGGACGATAATCAAAATGTATCAATAAAACATTCAACTTAATACAAGATTATTGAAAGGCCTTGTGAGTAATCTAAAACATTTGCTTCAAAAGTATGGTCTGGAGTCATTAGGGTCTTAACAATACATGTTTATATTGTTTGTCAAAAAGTCAGTAATATCAAAAGTAAATACAATTAAAACCTGACCAACAGCTGAGAATTTTTCATTTGAAACATTGGATTAGCTGAATTTCAGTGTGGTCATGGAACACATATCAAGATCCCATTAATGTCGAACAAAACTGTAAGATATTTATGTAAAATAAAGTACACATCAATTGTAAGGCAGTGGTGTATGAGAAGTTTGTAAAGAAAATGTATTTTTGTATAAATAGCAATATTTATGAATTTAATTTTTTTAAATCCCTCTATATTGAACAACAATGTTATTTATACAGGAAAGTTTAATTTTCAACATTTTGATTTTTCTAGTTATCTGCACAGTGTGGTCAAAAAAGTTATTTCCTTTCAGCTACCTCTTACCGAACAAACAATATAAAGAATGTTTAAAATATGGCAAAATATATAAGTAATTATTTTTCTTAAGAATGTTCTGATAATATAGACCAGAGATAGCCAAATGGTGGCTCGCAGGCCACGACCTTGTTTTATGCGGCCCACAACAGATTAAAAAAGATTAGGTTAATATTTTATTCTTCAGACAAATATGCAGATTTTTTCGTAAATCTGTTTACAGAGACCAAGCAATGTATAAACTTTCCAACACATTTATATCTATTAGTCAATGATGCATCTCACAGCTCACTTTGTGCATCTCCTTCTGGTGAGGTAACACACATTTTATCAAACAGTCAGTACTTTATTGCTGTTTTGGTTAGGAGTGAGTCAGTTTATTTCACAACGAATAAAAACAGAAAGTGTCTGAAGACAACAGAATGTTTGAAGACAATTGGAAAACCGAATACCTTTTTGTAAATAACAAGGACAATAAACAAGTGTTTAGTGTGTCTGCTTGTATTCCCTGTCCTATATGTTATATTTATTATTATACTTACTTCATTTGATTATTGAAATTGACATTAAAATGTATGTATTAAAATGTATGACACTAAAAAATAAAGACAAACATTTTTGCAATTCTTTTCTTCTCCTCAAGTATTGGTGACAAAATGACTCCACTAGGCGTTCTAGAGGTTTCAGAAAGCTGGGCACTCTGGCATTAATAAACAAATATCATGCGTGATACTGTCAAAGCTGTCACGCGTGATACTGTAAATAAAAATGTAAATTTTCATTTTATCATAACTGTTAAAAACAAATAATCAAAACATCTTTGTGGCAATAATATTACATTCATTACAAACTAACAGAGCTTGTCTTGCACTCTGCGAATGTGTCATAATATTGATCATGGTAATGACTTGACAACTTGACTTTTCCATTCTCCTCATGAAATTTTATTACATATATTTAATTCAGGTTTATATCATTTTGAATAATTGGCAACATGTGATTGTATGGTTTCTTTCATTTATGTAAAATATTGTCCACTTTTAATGGAATAAAATGTTTAATAAATATCAGTATCAAATATGTTTATAAATTCAAGTACTTTTATGTATTTATTTTTTTTCCACTGTATTTTAAAAGTTTTCACTTTTCTAAATTTTAATTTCTATGCCATATCTCAAAATCTTGAAGTGTTCCCCAATCATTACTTTACCTTTAGGCATTCCACACTGAGAAAGGAAAGGAGGAGCAAAGTAATAAGGAATGCTGCTGATACAATAACATCCACTGACCTCTGAGGACCACGGCGCTGTAAGAATACAATACAATATATTACTTTTTTTTTGCTGTTGAACATATTTAATCAGTCTTTAAAGCAATTGTCAGAACGCCAAATGTATCTGAAGAAACTTAATAAACATTTGGCAAAAACTTACCTTGAGGTACGATCTTACACTCAGCCAGGTCTTGATATTCCGAACCTTATTGAGACGGAAGTGTGGCAAATCAGACTTACGAGCACGGCGAAAAGATGTGAGGTGAGAAAATAACTTAGCATAGAGAAATCGCTGTTTAAATGTACGTTCTGCCACTGCCAAAAGGAAGAAAAAGAGAGCAGCTAGCATGCCCCTCTCGAACATTGCAATCAGGATGATAATTCTCTCCCTGAAATCAATAATTTTTTTTCAAAATTCATGCACTATAGAATAACTTCACGACTATGAAGACATTATTCTCATCAACAACAGTTCTTGTTGTTATTGTTGTTGTTGTTGTAATTATTATTATTATTATTATTAT